CACCCATTTCACAGGTGAGAAAGCTGAGGCTTTGGAGAAGTTGAGTAGCTTGCCAAGGTCACATAGAGACTAATTCTAGCCCTAACTCTGAGCTGATGGAAATGGTGGAGCTGGGATTCGAGCCCCGGCGGTCTGACTCCTGAGCCCATGTTGATCCTGTGTCATAACCATCTAAGGCCCTTTGAGTCGGGGGACAGGGCTGGGTGACCCCCGGGAGGGCTCAGTCTTTCCTGAGGCTCTTGGATGGACCCTGTAACCTCATCCATCTGTGATATTCTTTTGAATCAGAGAGAACCTGCCCTGATTCTGTGCAGAGCGCCAATGGAAGGGAGCGTCACTCCTGCAGACATGAATGACTTTACTCTCAAAAACCCTTTTAGTGAGGCGTAACTTGCTGCAGGAAGTGCATTCATCTTATACGTTCAGACAAGTGGGTTTTTACCTAGAAAGTCACGGGCATGCCATGCCATGCTGTGTTGCACTCGGAACTACCACCTAGAATAGATCCTGATATCAAGTAACCCTCCCCTGTTAAAATCCAGGACAATTTTAAGGGTGAAGTTTGTGACTTAAACACAACATGTTTTTGCCCTGTGCCAGGTTTCCCCAAGACCTCCACCCCGCCCCCCAAGCCAGAATTCTGCTGGAAACTCCCAGATCCTGGGCTGGGGGCCCTTCAGATCCTGGGCTGGGGTCCTGCAGGGCAGATCTGCACCAAACACCTTGACCACAAACTAAGACGTGAAGAGGGTAGCTTGGTGAATGCCCAGGTCTCTAGCATGACGATGCTTTAAAAGTGCCTCCCATGAGCATTTCCATACATATCTCTTCTCACAGCAGTCAGTGAGGCAGGGGGTCCCCACCTTATTTGCAAAAAAAAAAAAGCCTCAGTTTCACCATCTGTACAATGGGGGGATGGGAAGGGATGCATTTGATGAAGTAGAGTCTCTCCTAAACTCTAAAAATCCTAAGATTCCCAGGGCTGTGTGGAAGTGACAAACACATCCAGACACCACTTCCTCCTTCCAAAGGAGAGAGCAATCCCTCACGCTCCTCTCCCACCTCTCCTCAAAATCTGACACCGGAGATTTTGACGTGCGCCCTCCTCGTCCCACGGAGGAGTCTGCTCAGAGGACAGCTTAGGTTTGCAAGTTGCTTTAGAGTCAAACTCTACACTGGGGGGTTGAATCCCAGCTGTGTCACTTATTAGCTGTGTGACGGTGGGCAAGCCCCTTCACCTCTCTGAACCCCCATTCCCTCATCTATACATGGGGACAGGAACGGACCCTTCCACAGAGGTTGCTGTAGGCTTCAGTGAGAAAAATGAAAGGAAAGTGCTTAGAGGGGCCCCAGCCTTGCACATGCTCAGTTCAGATTACCCACTATTATTATTATTGTTGTTGTTGAAGCCTTGAGCACAGGCAAGTGTCCTATCGGCCTGTGTTTCCTCCTCCCTTCACCTCGCACCCACAGCCCATTGACCATGTCTCTAGGGCAGTAGCTGGCTGATGTGCCTTGGGGTGTCCCCATCTCCTGGGGGGGGGCGGGGGGAGACTTCTGGAAGATCCCCTGGACAGAACTCAGTTACCTCCAGGTTAAACCCCAAATCCAAGCCCTGGGAGTGCTGTCTGCACAGACTCCCCGCAGCCCCCGCCCCCACTTGCAGCATTAATGGGCCTCCGCTCCTGGTGGGTTAATCTATGTGTGATTTATAGGGCTTTGGTGTGTGCTCAGAGGGCTCCCCTGAGAAATATAATTGTGCGTTGGGAGGTACATTTGAATAATATTTACAATTAAGTTCCGTCAATAGAGCAGCTCAGAGGCCTCTGCACAGCTGAACCGGCCCCTGGGCTGGCTTCCCACCAACCACCCCCGGAGGAAGCCTGGGAGCTTTAACATCGCTCTCCGTCCATCAGTCCACTTCTCTCAAGGCCACCTTTGCTCCCAGAGTCCAGGCATCATCACACACGTGGAGGCTGCAGGAGCCCCTCATCCCCCCCGCCCACCTCCTCCCAACCAGAAGGGCCTGGGCATCGGGCATGAGGCGCCATTTCAATGTGCAGATCTAAGCACATCGCTGTTGTATGGGCCCAGGGTCCGGCCCTGCCTCCCCTCCGTCCTGTGTACCTATGATCGGTCTATCGGCTCTGCGGCAGGCGCCTCCCCTTCCAGACCCTCACGTTCGCTCTGCTCTCTTCACGCCCACACTGCTTCCCCCTCCCCCTGTCGCACCTCCCACCACCCCAGTACCAACCTCTCCTTCGCATCTCAAGTGTCTCTTCCCCGAGGAAGTGTCCTTGGCCTCTGGTCAGGGTCAGACCCCTCTCCAACGTGTGCGTGGCACTTACGGAGGTTCATTTTCATTCAGAGAAAATTGTTGTTGTTGTTGTTTTTAATGATTGGCTGTCTCTCCCACTCGCCAATGAATGAGCTGACGAGGACAGAGATTGTATGTTTGGATGACCCTGTATTCCCAGTGCCTGCCACGAGGCCTGGCAAAAAGTAGGGGC